GAGAGGGTATTTATAGCCCCCAGCGCTGGGCCAAGGTCACTTCATTGGGCTGGTCAAGCAGGCCCAACATGGAGACTGCTAGGTCCTATGTGAGTAGTGGGGACCCGTACGTGGTCCCCAACCTGGATGACTTCCTCCACAAGATCAGAAAGATATGGATGCGATCTTTCCGGGGTCACGAAGATTCCGTGATACTCAGAGACGTTGATAGTCAGTCGTACGAGGAGGATGCTCGTGAGGTGCTTCTGCTCGTCGTGGGTGCTTCCACTGATAGTGAGGTCGTGTGATAGGAACAATCTTGGTCGAGGTTTGATAAAATATATTATATATAAGACAAATGAAAAGAAGATGAGATTTTAATTATTATAAATTATTTATATAAATAATATCATTTTTAACCGTCTAAGCTTATTATTTTTAATATATATATATATATATATATATATATATATATATATATATATATATATATATGTATGTATATATATATATATATATATATATAAAAGCTTTTCTTAAAAAGAATATTATATATAAAAAATAATTATTTTATAATCAAAATTGATATATTTTTAGTAAAGAGTATTAAAATTTTGAAAAACTAAAAAAATAATTATTTAAATAAATTTATGTTTAGAAATTAAACAATAATGCAATAATTAAAATTTGAATTTATTATAGTAAAGGTAAAATGTGACTGATTTTTTATTTCATATCAAGAGTCATAGTTAATTGTTGTTAAAAATGATAAATACATATTAAATTCTAATAGTTGAAATAATTATTGGAAAATTAAATTCATCATGTCTAACCGAACGTGTAAAAATCAGGAGATAAATAAAAAAATAGAGATTAATTTTTACATTTAAAGAGCAAAAGAGTCGGTATTTTAAAATTTTAGAGGAATATTCTTAAAAAATAAATTAAAAAAGGATAAACCAAATCTCACATATGTAATAAAGAGAATTGTGCATTTAATCCTTAATTTTTTGGTGCACAATTCTAATTATAGACTCTTATACTATAATAGAATTAAAAAATTTGAACCATAACTGACTTTTAAGGTGAGAAATTACTATATAAACATTTATTATTATTATACTCTATCAAGAGATTTTAATTCTTTTCAATACTTTGACCCATATAAGATTAAAAATTATACAATTAAAGCTTTTTGTTTTTGACAAAAACTAACAAACCATTTTAGTTGACAGATGTTTTTGAGAATAATTAAATAAAAAATCAACATAAAATAAAAATAAAAAAATAAATTAAGATACCCCATATTTAAATAAAATAATTTGAAGTATTTTTTGTTTTGCTGAGGCTAGCACATTATGGATAAGGATTGTAGAATGAATATTGCTGGCTAGGAAGCTTATGAGTCTAAGAAAATCATAAGTTGATAAATAAGTTTGGTGTATTTTTATGACAAAAAGCAGTAAACTTATTTTCAGAGGAATATTCCAAAAAAAAAAAAAAACTAAAAAGAGATCGGTTACAATACTTGGTAACTTGATTCCATAGCCTATAATTACCTCTCAGAATTGTATTAAATTACATACCATATCCAAAATTTGCAGTCATAATTGTTGATGATTAGCATTAAAATAAAATAATGAAAAAGATTATGAATTTATTGTTGTTCATCTTCTTACTAGTAGTGTAACCTTGTTAGTTTGTGTCAAATATTGTTCACAAATATGGCGGCTGCAGAAGCTGTTTATAATTTACCTGTTGATTGCTGGGAGCTTATCTTCACATTCCTCATCATCAACGACGACGACATCCTCATCCACTATGTCAAGACTCTCTCCCTCGTCTCTAAACCTTTCCTCTCGCTCATCAGCCGTCTCATATTATCCATCACTATTTCTGATCCAACACCTTCTTTCCTCCGCCGTCTCTTCCATAGATTCTCCAACCTCAATTCCCTTCACCTCTCCTTTTACCATCTCGATGCAGCCGTTGCTTCTTCTCTCCGCAACAGACCAACATTGAAATCTTTATCCATTTCCTACTTTGATCCAGACGATGAAAACTACGTTATTTCACATTTCCTTGATTCGTTGCTCACTTTGAAGGGTTTGACTTGTCTTGATTTGTTGGGCTTGCAAATCTCTGATGATTTTCTCTCTTCTATTGCAACTGAAGGTCTTCCTTTAAACAAGTTTGTGCTCCGAAGTTGCACCGGATACACTTACGACGGAATATGCTTTTTGTTATCCAAGTCTAGTGGGATACAACATTTGAGTTTTCATCGAAATGATTTCTTAAATGACCATCATATTGCTCAGTTATCTTTGTTTCTTGGTGCTTTGGTGTCTATAAGACTCAGTGATTGCTGGAACCTCACTAAATCAGCCTTGTTTGCACTCATTAGGAACTGTTCTTCACTTTCTGAGATTACAATGGAAGGCATTGGAACAAAGAGTGTACAGACTTCTAATTCTTTTAAGGATTTTCATGTGAACGCTCAACTCAAGTCTCTATGTTTGACTTACGATTCATCCATAAATGATGCAAACATCTCTTTGTTCGCTTCCATTTTTCCCAATTTGGAGCTTCTTGATTTAAGTTCTTGCGATAGCATTTCTGAAAGAGGCATTTTTCAAGTTTTAACTAGATGTTGTAAGATTAAACATTTGAATTTGAGCGATTGTCGTCAAGCGTGGCTACTTAGGATGAACTTTGTAACTCCTCAGTTGGAGGTGTTGAACTTGTCAGGCACACCTGTTGATGATATAACACTCTATCAGATCTCCAAGAGTTGTTCTGGCCTTTTGCATCTATCACTTAGATGTTGTAAACATGTCACAGAAAAGGGAGTGATGCATGTGGTTCAAAACTGCACACAACTTGAGGAGATCGATTTGAAATTTTGTTATAAACTGGATGCGGATGTTCTTGTCTCAGAAACAGTTAAAAGAGATATTGTTCCGCCACATTTTTTGTTTTAGTAAGGTAAAGAGAAAACTATTCCCGCATCATCAAATAACTTAATCTTGACTAGTCTTGAAACTTTATATCGATATTCACTGGTTGCTCAAAATTATAGGTGGATGTGAATAACTGTTGGTGACCAAGAAAGTAAAAAAGATGAAGAACTTGTGTAAGGTTTTATGGAAAAACCGCTGGACTATGGTGAAGTATTGTTGGTTTCTCTATAATACAAATTCATGTAAATTTTCACATTCGGTCACTCTGAATTTCGATATTAACTCATAAATGCTTGAAATTTGTTTTATAGTCCTCTGATATTTGAGGTGATGTTACTTGAATTTTATCTTTATCTTTAGACTATCAAGAAAACATGAGTTATAGTTATTAGTTGTAGCATGTCAATACTACAAACTTTGATCATTATTTTCATCTTCTGTAATGTTTAGACATCAATATTATCATCGACTAGATGTCATAAAATTTAGGACATAAAATTAACAAGTTATCATTGTGATATTGAATTCTTGAAAATATGAAAACCAAGTAATGGATTTGATAAGAGCTCAGCGGTTATGCGGGGGGATTGTTATAGCCTGGAGAAGTTGTTCCATCAGCATAAACATGATAACGAGAAGCTCTCAATTCTTGCATGTTAGTATCAAAGAACTAGGTAATAGGGAATGTTTTCTTACAGCAGTGTACGCTAGCACTAGTGAGGATAGGAGGTATGTATTTTGGGATGACTAGAAGATGATATCAGACTTGATGAGTCAACCATGATTGGTAGCATGTGACTGTTAGAAGATGCAATTTGTTTAGAGATCGCATTAACAATTATAATCTCATTGACCTTGGATCAACAAGGCTTGGGTTTACATGTTGTGGTCCTCTGTGTCTTGGAGGACATAAAATTTATTAAAAGCTCCACCGTGCTTTCGGCAATGAAGAGTGGAGACTTAGATTCCCTGATGCACAAGTGAAAGTTCTTGCTAGAGTTTTTAGATCATCATTCAATTCTTATCACGCCTTACTACCAGGTTAATATGAATGCTATCAGACTGTTTAAGTTTGAAAGCTCTTGACTGCTTAATATTAATGATCATGATTTCATCGAGACGGTTTGGAAGGAAGAGCTTCATTTGAAGGATAATTTGGCTAAAATCAGAGATAATGTTAAAGACTAGAACTTGCATACTTTTAATCAAGTCATAAATAATAAGAAAAGAATTATGGAAATATTACAAGGATTTCAAACTAACATCCAAAGCAGAAGACACCATGTTGGCATCATTAAGATGGATAATAAGTTGCACAAAGAACTTAGTGACATTTTGAAAGAAGAAGAGGTCATGTGGTTCCAAGGTCTAGAGCCAAATGGTTGGAGGATGGGCATCAGAACACCAAATATTATCATATGAAGGCCATTAACAAAAGAAATCGCAATTAGATGCTTAGCCTGAAAAATGAGCCAGGGGAGTTGGTTGAGGATGAGACAACTCTCAAGTGTATGGTGAATGGATATTATTATGAGTTGTTTAAAGTTAATAACAAAAAATTTGAGTGACATGTTACTAGTTGTAATTTTCCTAAGATGGAGGATACAGATGTTGCGAGTTTTTCCAAACCCTTGGAGGCTACACAAATAAAAAAATTTGTTTTTTCTATGAGCTCTTGGAAGGATCTTGGACCGGACGGAGTTCCAACAGGTTTCTACCAGAAGTCTTGGGGCATAGTAGTAAGGAAAGTTTGCGATATGGTGCAATGAATGTGACAGAGCCCTGGAGATATAATGCATATTAACCAAACTAACATATGCCTTATTCCTAAGGTGAATCAACCCAAAATAGTCTCCCAACTTCGTCCCATCTCGTTGTGCAATGCGGTGTATAAAGTGTTAAGCAAGATTCTAGTTAACAGTCTCAAAATTTGTATCTCGAAATGGATCTATCCGTATCAAACAGGTTTCATCCCGAGAAGAGATATTCATGAGAGTATTATTATTGCTAAAGAAATTATGCATTCGATGAATCGTATGAAAGGGAAGAAAAGGATACTTTATGATTAAAGTAGACTTATCCAAAGCATATGATAAGATTAGTTGGGAGTGCATTTATAGAGTTCTTGTTGAAATCCAGCTTCCTGAGAATATGATCAATAACATTATGCATGCGGTTTCTTCTGCTCTCCGCAACAGACCAACATTGAAATCTTTATCCATTTCCTACTTTGATCCGGACGATGAAAACTACCTTATTTCACATTTCCTTGATTCGTTGCTGACTTTGAAGGGTTTGACTTGTCTTGATTTGTTGGGGTTGCAAATCTCTGATGATTTTCTCTCTTCTATTGCAACGGAAGGTCTTCCTTTAAACAAGTTTGTGCTCCGAAGTTGCACCGGATACACTTACGACGGAATATGCTTTTTGTTATCCAACTGTAGTGGGATACAACATTTGAGTTTTCATCGGAATGATTTCTTAAATGACCATCATATTGCTCAATTATCTTTGTTTCTTGGTGGTTTGGTGTCTATAAGACTCAGTGATTGCTGGAACCTCACTAAATCAGCCTTGTTTGCACTCATTAGGAACTGTTCTTCACTTTCTGAGATTACAATGGAAGGCATTGGAACAAAGAGTCTACAGACTTCTAATTCTTTTAAGGATTTTCATGTGAACGCTCAACTCAAGTCTCTATGTTTGACTTACGATTCATCCATAAATGATGCAAACATCTTTTTGTTCGCTTCCATTTTTCCCAATTTGGAGCTTCTTGATTTAACTTCTTGTGATAGCATTTCTGAAAGAGCCATTTGTCAAGTTTTAACTAGATGTTGTAAGATTTAACATTTGAATTTGAGCTATTGTCGTCAAGCGTGGCTACTTAGGATGAACTTTGTAACTCCTCAGTTGGAGGTGTTGAACTTGTCAGGCACACGTGTTGATGATAAAACACTCTATGAGATCTCCAAGAGTTGTTCTGGCCTTTTGCATCTATCACTTAGATACTGTAAACATGTCACAGAAAATGGAGTGATGCATGTGGTTCAAAACTGCACACAACTTAAGGAGATCGATTTGAAATTTTGTTATAAAGTGGATGCAGATATTGTTGTCTCAGAAACAGTTAAAAGAGATATTGTTCCGCCATGTTTTTTGTTTTAGTAAGGTAAAGAGAAAACTATTCCCGCATCATCAAATAACTTAATCTTGACTAGTCTTGAAACTTTATATCGATATTCACTGGTTGCTCAAAATTATAGGTGGATGTGAATAACTGCTGGTGACCAAGAAAGTTGAAAAGATGAAGAACTTGTGTAAGGTTTTATGGAAAAACCGCTGGACTATGGTGAAGTATTGTTGGTTTCTCTATAATACAAGTATCACTTTGTTACTTTTATTCATGTAAATTTTCACATTTGGCCACTCTAAATTTCGATATTAACTCATAAATGCTTGAAATTTGTTTTATAGTCCTCTGATATTTGAGAAGATGTTACTTGAATTTTATCTTTATCTTTAGACTATCAAGAACATAGGGGTTGTAGTTATTAGTTGTAGCATGCCGATATTGAAGTTGCATTCTACAAACTTTGATCATTGTTTTCATCTTCTCTAATGTTTAGACATCAATATTATCGTTGACCAGATGACATAAAATTTAGGACATAAAATTAACAAGATATCATTGTGATATTGAATTCTTGAAAATATGAAAATCAAGTAATACCAAGTGATACCAAGTGATGAATTTGATAAGAGCTTGCGGTTATGCGGGGGGATTGTTATAGCCTAGAGAAGTTGTTTCATTAGCATAAACATGATAACGAAAAGCTCCCAATTCTTGCATGTTAGTATCAAAGAACTAGGTAATAGTGAATGTTTTCTTACATCAGTGTATGCTAGCACTAGTGTATGTATTATGGAAAAACTGCTGGATGTCTTTTGATGACATTGGACTATGGTGAAGTATTGTTGGTTACTATATAATACAAGTATCAGTTTGTTACTTTTATTCATGAAAATTCTCACATTCGGTCACTCTGAATTTCGATATTAACTCATTAATGCTTGAAATTTGTTTTATAGTCCTCTGATATTTGAGGGGATGTTACTTGAATTTTTTCTTTATATTTAGACTATCAAGGAAACAAGAGTTATAGTTATTAGTTGTAGCATGCCAATATTGAAGTTGCATTCTACAAACTTTGATCATTGTTTTCATCTTCTGTAATGTTTAGACATCAATATTATCGTCGACCAGATGATATAAAATTTAGGACATAAAATTAACAAGATATCATTGTGATATTGAATTCTTGAAAATATGAAAATCAAGTAATGGATTTGATAAGAGCTCGGCGGTTATGCAGGGGGGATTGTTATAGCCTGGAGAAGTTGTTCCATCAGCATAAACATGATAACAAAAAGCTCCCAATTCTTGCATGTTAGTATCAAAGAACTAGGTAATTGTGAATGTTTTCTTACAGCAGTGTACGCTAGCACTAGTGAGGATATGAGGTATGTATTTTGGGATGACTAGAAGAGGATATCAGACTTGATGAGTCAACCATGGCTGGTAGCATGTGACTGTTAGAAGATACAATTTGGTTAGAGATCGCATTACCAATTATAATCTCATTGACCTTGGATCAACAAGGCCTGGGTTTACATGTTGTGGTCCTCTGTATCTTGGAGGGCATAGAACTTATGAAAAGCTCCATCGTGCTTTCGGCAATGAAGAGTGGAGACTTAGATTCTCGGATGCACAAGTGAAAGTTCTTGCTAGAGTTTACTTTTTAGATCATCATCTGATTCTTATCATGCCTTACTACCAAGTTAATATGAATGCCATTAGACTGTTTAAGTTTGAAAGCTCTTGACTGCTTAATATTAATGATCGTGATTTCATCGAGACGGTTTGGAAGGAAGAGCTTCATTTGGAGGATAATTTGGCTAAAATCAGAGATAAATTTAAAGACTGGAACTTGCATACTTTTAATCAAGTCATAAACAATAAGAAAAGAATTATGGAAAGATTATAAGTATTTCAAACTAGCATCCAAAGCAGAAGACACCATGTTAGCATCATTAAGATGGAGAATAAGTTGCACAAAGAACTTAGTGACATTTTGAAAGAAGAAGAAGTCACGTGGTTCTAAGGTCTAGAGCCAAATGGTTGGAGGATGGACATCAGAACACCAAATATTATCATATGAAGGCCATCAACAAAAGAAATCACAATTAGATTGTTAGCCTGAAAAATGAGCAAGAGGAGTGGGTTAAGGATGAGACAACTCTCAAGTGTATGGTGAATGAATATTATTATGAGCTGTTTAAACTTAATAACAACAAATTTGAGTGACATGTTACTAGTTGCAATTTTCCTAAGATAGAGGAAACGGGTTGCGAATTTTTCCAAACCCTTAGAGGGTACACAAATAAAAAAAGTTGTTTTTTCTATGAGCCCTTGGAAGGATCTTGGACTGGTCGGAGTTCCGACAGGTTTCTACCAGAAGTCTTGGGGCATAGTAGGAAGGAAAGTTTGCGATATGGTGCAACGAGTGTGACAGAGCCCTGGAGATATAATGCATATTAACCAAACAAACACATGCCTTATTTCTAAGGTGAATCAACCCCCAAATAGTCTCCCAACTTCGTCCCATCTCGTTGTGCAATGCGGTGTATAAAGTGTTATGCAAGATTCTAGTTAACAGGCTCAAAATTTGTATCCCGAAATGGATCTATCCGTATCAAACAGGTTTTATCCCGAAAAGAGATATTCATGAGAACATTATTATTGTTAAAGAAGTTATGCATTCGATGAATCGTATGAAAGGGGAGAAAAGGATACTTTATGATTAAAGTAGACTTATCCAAAGCATATGATATGATTAGCTGGGAGTGCATTTGGAGAGTTCTCGTTGAAATCCAGCTTCCTGAGAATATGATCAACAACATTATGCATGCGGTTTCAAGTGTTGAGACCAATGTTAAGTGGAATGGTGTCAGGAGTAATTATTTAGACCGCAAAGAGAAATTAGACAAGGAGATCATATTTCTCCTTATCTCTTTGTGTTGTTCATGGAGAAATCAACTCATCTTATTCTGGTGGCCATGCATAACAAGGATTGGAAGGCGTTGCGTTTTGGTAAAGAGGGGCCTTGGTTGTCTCATCTAATGTTTACTGATGATCTCTTACTGATAGGAGAAGCTACTGAAGCCCGTATAGAGTATGTGATATGGATTCTTCATAAATTTGGTAATATGTCGGGCCAAGAAGTGAATAAATACAAATAATGTGCAAAAAGGGGTGAGAAATAAATTGATTCAGGCATCATGCTTTCATGATAAATCAGACATGGGGAAGTATCTTGGTGTCCCCATTAGTAGAAAAAGCCTTCGAAGACAAGATATCAATGTCTGATAGAGCAGATCTCAGCAAAATTATCGAATTGGAAGGCTAAAAATTTGTCTTTTGCTGGTATATTAACATTGACTAAGAGTGTGATGGAAGCGGTTCAGATTTATCCTATGATGACATATATTTTGCTTAAAATTTGTGTTGAAGATATCCAGCGCATGAAGAGGAATTTTATAAGGGGTGATACTAGTGACAAGAAGCAGATGCATGTGGTTAGTTGGGACACTATAACTAATCCGAAAGAGGAAGGAGGCCTAGGACTAAGTAAACTTGATATTTTCAATAGAGCATGTTTCATGAAGTTAGTTTGGAAGTTGGACATCAACAAGGAGAAGCTTTGGTGTAATTTCTTAAGAAACAAATACAGGGTCTCGAATATTAATAATCACAACTTCAAGAGTTCTTACTCTAAACTTTGGAGGGATATAGTCAAGAATGATCATATGATGTGTAACATTGGTAACTGGTGTGTTGGTAATGGGGAAACTATCCAGGCTTGGAAATATTATTGGATCGAACCAAGAGTTATCATTAGTGAGCTTGATGTTGGTATTCCTGATGAGATCTTTCATGCTATAGTGTGTGACCTGATTATTAATGAAGGTAGTTGGAACTGGCAGCGGCTTAGACAGTGACTGCCGAATGGTATTACTCATAAAATCATGGAAATTCTTCCTCTAAGAAGTGAATATGTTATCGATGAATATTTGTTCGCGGGCTTCAACAAGTATCGGTTTTCAATGAGTACATCTTACTGTAATATTACGATGCAAGATATCAATGGAACGTGTATTCTTTGGCGCAAAATATGGGGGTTAAAAGTTTATGAGCGTCTTCGTTGCTTCATTTGGCTTTTTGCTTATGGTCGTATCACCTCGAATTTGTATTTGAGTGTTAAAGGGCTAGGTAGTGCTAGCTGTAATATTTGTGGTTGCGTGAAGCAAACTACTTTCCACGACAAAGATTATAGAAAACTCTGGATATGAATGCTCTTGTTCATAATAGAGTGCAAGAGTTGATAGCCGTGAAAGAAGGTTGAATAATGTGGTTTAGTAACCTCCTGCACTAGAGTGGTTCATGCTCAATATAGATGGTTCCCAAATTTCTAAGGTAGTTGTGGGCTGTTGTGGTAGAATTAGGAACATGAATCGTGTCTGCATATGAGTCTTCTTCAAGTTCTTGGGAAATTGTAGTGTTATAAAAGCGGAACTAGGGGGTACTTTTGAGGGTCTCATTATTATCAAGGAGTTAGGATTAACTAAATTCGAAGTTAATATGGACACCACTATTGTTATTGATATGATTAGTACTGGTACAACATCATATATGGATTGCTTAGCCATAGTTAAACAAATTATTAAGCTTGTGCATAGCATTGGAGAGGTGAAAAATTCTTATTGCTATTGTGAAGCCTATTAGAAATCCACCAAAACCTATGATGAATTTCTACCAATTTTAATGAACAAGATTGATATCAACATACAATGACAATTAAAAATATAAAATAAAAGAAGAAAGAAAGAAGACAATTATTTTTCTGCAGAGTTTCTCTCTGCCTACAAACTGTGGAAAACTTTGTTATTCACTTGCAACTGCAAATTCTGTGAAGGAGAAAACATGAAGAACTTGTGTAAGGTTTTATGGAAAAACCGCTGGACTATGGTGAAGTATTGTTGGTTTCTCTATAATACAAGTATCAGTTTGTTACTTTTATTGATGTAAATTTTCACATTCGGTCACT